CTGTCTTTTCTGACATGGCACAGGTTCAAATGATTACATTTTCTGAAGGCAGTGGTCTCACTCCTACTTTTCCAGATGACCATGTTGAGGCAATTAAAACACATTCATAAGCTTTCATGATAGGGCTTTCTCTCTGGTTTGCAGTGCATTTTTTTTTTGGAGAGGTTTTTGCTATAGGGTGCATGCACTCACCAGAAAGATAGAAAGAGACAGAGAGACAGAAAGTGAGAAATCATCCCCCGGGGGGATGGCCACGCCACAATCCCTTCTCCTCCATTCTCCTCTCGGGATCTTGGGCACGCATACACATGTGCCCGGTGTGAGTTTAAGCCACTGGGTCCGGGACTCAAACCACAGTTGACTACATGGGAGTCCAGCAACATAGCCATTACGCCAACTGCTGATCCCCACAGTGCATTTTTTGGACAAGTATTTATTGGCTGAGCCTCTGCCATAGACCAGGCACTGGAGATATGGAAGTCAACAAAGCAGGCCAAGTTCCTTTACTCATGGAGCTGGCATCACCATGGGTGAATAGCTTCCTCATTCCAATGAAAAACTGGCTTCCCTGTGGTTTCATTCCCTGTCTTCATCCTGGGTTGTCTTTTTTCAAGGAAACCCCAAAATACAGATGAAGATGGAAGAAACCAAAGGTGCCCAGGCCACTGAGGGCCTAACTCCAAGTATCAAACAGCACTATACAGTATAGTCATGGAACCAAGTGGTCTTCAGACCCAAATAACTTTCAACTGTCAGTTTAAAACATGAATAAAAAAGATTTCTAGAAGGTGTATATAGTTCAAAGTGTATTCCTTCAACGCATCGCATCTGTCTCCATCCCTGTCTCTCCCTCACATTCACAGTATGGCTCACTTTCCCAAATTACAAAGATACACACATGCACAAATATACAAGCTATGAAAACTACATAACTATGCACCATACCTGGTGGGAAACACAGGCATGCTTACATAAATAAAAGCATGACATATTTTCTAAGACACATCAACACCTATAAACATATGACCATGGCTTAAGAGAATGGCCACAAATACAAGCAAAAATATATATGTGAAAATTATTTCTAATATAGGCTGTGGTTTGAAGTCCACCCACTCCCTTTACTACTCTCCCCCTAGCTTCTGTAAGGTTCTGAAGATTAAATAGTTGGTAGCCAACTTTGTATACATGCCTATAAACAACAGGGTTCAGCTTTAAATAATTATGTCAGAGAAATGACAACTGTGTTCTTTGCCAGAACAGGGATGAATAATTACAAAGCCAGGACATAATTAAGCAATTCTGACTGTCGGATTTTTGAGCTGTCTCTCTGATGTGCAGGGCTGGTGTGCCCGCCACACATGCCCTCCTGGACAGGCCTGTGCATCCCTTTGATCTATGTTTCTCAGTGCAGTAAGGGGGGGAGGGGTCATGGTTTGGTCATTACAGAAGCCTTTCATTGGGGGCTGGAAACCTTCTCTGTATCCAGCTTGATGTTCTCTGTATTGACAATGGCATGATTCAATGGCCAATATTGGACAAAGATATATTTTTCTTTGAAATTCTGGAAAATAAGCAAAGTCTAGCTGTTGCAGGTCCATTAATAGTGCACACATTCACACACACACACACACACACACACACACACACAGAGTCTTAAAGAGTCCATTGTAATAACATTAGCTATCACTTCCTAATGAATGACAGCATCTTTCTGTAGAACAATCAGAGCTCAGACAGAAGGCAGCTTTTAAACAACAAAAGCTAAAAGGCAGCATCGAAGGAGAAATGTGTCATCATGAGAAAAAACGAGAGAGAACTCGCACTCCAGTGCCAGGGCCTGCCAGGTACCAAATCAAGTCTTTGTGACATAGGGGGTTTATTAGTTCCTGGATGATTTTGCATTTGCGTCAGCTGAGAACACCCAGACTGCCCGTTCCCTACCTCCAAGGAAAGGGCTGTGATTGGAGAGGCATTTTCCATTCTCCCAAATACTTTATGTCAGAAATAAAATGAAAACAGCTCCTCAAATCACAGACTCCTTGATCATCCATCAGAGCATTCTGCTGAATAAGCACAACAGGACGCTGCTGCCTCAGAAAGGACAGAAGCCAACTTGAGATTCCGATTCTGTTATGAAAAATAGGTCTTCACCAAGTGTGCTCAGCACAGCGTCGGCAATTCACAGGAAGGAAATTGCTCTCCACTTAGAAGCCAACTCTGGGTGTACACATACCTCCCAGAACATACATATGTATATACAAAGAAATGGAAAGCATATATATACACACCTGCATAGAAACAAACATACGTCTGTACACATTGTGAACAGAGAAGATTAGCCTTTTTACTGCCAATTTATTAATTCAGCAAGAAGCTCATTTGGCCTCTAACTGCAAGGAAAGTATCAGGGCATATCTCTAAAAACAACAGACAAAAGGGAATTGCATGCTATTCGAGAGAGGCATACAGTGTGCTATAAGGCCAAGAACACAGGACTTCTCTGTGCTCTTGAAGGATGATGGTGTGAATAGAACACTTAACTTCTAAGAACTCCAAGCCCCTAAATTCTGGTCCCAATCTGCCTCAATAGGATTGAGGGGCTTTAGGAAACTGTACCCTCTCTGAGTTCCCTCAGCTGTAATGAATGAGAGCATGGCCTGGCTGATTTCTGAAGTCTTCTCTAATTTGGAAATCATGTGACACTACCAAAAAAAAAAAAAGAAACAAAGGTACTCATGCTTTCTCAGAGTATTTTTGCCTCTCTCTTCAAATAATTAATGGGCAATTTTAAGCTTAATACAGTCAGTAAGGATGTTAGAGTCAATCACACGAACATGAGCTAATTCTATAATTGATCAGAAGCTAATTGGGAACTCTGAAGAGCATTTCTGCTGATGCTGCTAATGTCTCAGAGAAACAGCTAATACTGGATTGTAAGAGGCCACTCCAAATCACTTCCAGAGGCAAGCAAGAATTCCCATTTCCCCCAACTGTAAGTAATAGACTTTTTTTACCTGTGTGTTCTTCATTTAGGCCTTCCTATGACGATCTGGTTGAAGACAGAGATCCATAATCTATATGGAAACTGTCTACTAGTTCCCTGCTCAAGGGGTAAGAAAGTAGAGCATGAAGAATATGTGTTCAAATGGTCAGAAACACAGCTGAAACTATAGTTCCAGAAACTACTAGTCAAGTGACCTTGGTCAGTACTTCTTAACTAGTGCTTGGCTTAACTTCTCTGGATTTGAGTTCCATCATTTATAAAATGACCTAATGATTCCTTTCTTCCATCTTATGGGTGATGTGAAGATTTTCAGATTTGTATATGAAGAACCTTGGAACAGTGGTGGGCATGAGGTAAACACCTCACCCATATACGGAAGGTGTTGTATCAATTTCCTCTTCAATTTACAATGACAACCTAGATCTTCACATGTCAAGTGAAAGCCTGGTCTGTACAGTGTATACATGAAGCTAAGAAATATTGGATGGGCATGTTCTTTATAATATCCTAAGATATTATAAAGAGTTATTTGTTGTATTTTGCTGGGTTTGGTGATATTGGCTGTCTTTGGAGTTTCTTCAGGAAAAAAAAAAAGAAAGAAAAAAAGAGTTCAGGAAATAAATTATTTTGTTTAGACAAAATTACAAAAGCTGGAATAACTAAAGACAGTCATATGCAATATATCAAACCTGTAACTCAGTAAGGAGAACTGTTAACACTTTAATAGCTACAAAATGAATCACTCAATTAATTTCCTGCATGCTAAAACAGGTAACAATACATTTATCTGCCAGTATTATACCCTCCATATCATATATTTCCACAACTGTTAGCAATTTAATTCAGCCTAACAGGAAATAAGTTGCACTTCATGGATTGAGGGAAAGAAAGTGGCCTGAGGTCTGTTGTCAGCTGAGCAACTTTATGGAAGAGGCTTATTGTTCTGTTTTGGTTTTGTTTTTCCTCCCCACCCACTTAATTGCTCCCAGTGTGTGTGCAAAGTGCTATAAGTCAATAACTGAGGACAAACTAGACCTCTAGACTTCTGCATTTCAACACACAAGCTGTAATCTCATGAGAGGTGACTACCAGAGTCCCAGGGCATTAATGGTTCTGTAAAGGGGTTATTGAGAGCCACCATGTTCATTTCCAAGCCTCTAGCTTCACTGAAGGACCCCAACTCTTCCCAAAGAGACAGTTGTTCATGCTCTTAAATATCTCCTTGTGTTTGAATCCAAGACTAAACAAAATCTCCCCTGCCTCATCAGAGCTGCCATTAGGATGACCCCATGTTCACTTGCACAACCTCTATGCCACTCAGCTTGTAAAGGAAAGGTCAGTAAACACCATTCTGATGAGCTCTGGAGAGAGCCATGTGGGAAGCACATGCCAGCCCACATTGCCTTCTGTGTTAACGATATTTCAGAGAGCTGTTGAGCACTAGCTTGTGATGGTAAAAAATCACTCTTCCCTAGCTTCCCTTTGGTAGTAAGGCAGAAGAGCCCCTCTGAAGTACTAGAGCAATTTCACCCACCCTAGAAAGAGTTAATAACTGATGCTTTCTTCTCTCTTTTTTTAATTTCTTTTTAAAAATGACTTGCTATTTATATTCAATCATTGTATGTCTCCAATATGTTTTTCAAGTTATATATCCAGTATGCAATAATCAAATGAAGGCTATCACCACGAGCATCGTCATCAACAAAGAACCTCATAATCCTGTATCTGATAAGAGGTTTACTCTTTCTCCTTGGTTGGCTTCAGACCTGCAAAGGGTCTCCTTTGGGAACATTTTGTGAAGAACACTTGAAATTGCCCACAGAACGTCACCACTGGGCTCTGTATGGTGCTACTTTATTGGCAAAATAGCTACCTGGATGAGACAATCTTACAAGTAAGGTTTCCTTAGACTAGGTCACAGGAAGACCCAATTTATATCCAATTCTACTTCGTGTTTTCTAACAGTATATCCAAGAATGATGTAAGAGCCTACCTGTATCTTGAATACAAGATGTCCTCCATGCTCTGAGATGTAACTAGTGTCATGCAACACACATCTCTTACAAAGACCAGGGAGTAGACGCTCACCTTGGGTTTTACCACCTTCATGAAGGCCCCTCTGATCAACGCCTCCTCTCGTTCTTGTCTGGTTACTTTCCGGGCATCCAGAAACTTCAAGTTGGGCAGCTTGTGCAGAACAAAGCATCTGGCAGAGAAAAGTCAGTGATAACTCAGGAAGGTTGGGGTGATAACCTCAAAGATCCAAGCAATTTATCTGATCCTCAGGAATCTGTACCATTAGGTCTTCAGACATTTAGATGCTGACAGTTGCTTCATCTGTCTTCTTTCACAAAGAATGAACAATTGCTCTCTGGGGAAACCCACATGGTAATGTTTTATTCAGACACACAACCAAACTTTAGAACTTTCACTAACAGCTTCAGTGGACCCAAAGGTTGACTCAAAAGTAGACAAACAGACACAGACAAACACAGACCCACAGACATACAATTGGCTTAGCTAATAGGACCTTTAAAAAGTATTCATTTCCTTCTATTTTGAAAACAGGCCCAAAAGCTGCACAGGAACTTCTCAGGAAAACTAACCTACAATTTCACTATACCCTTTATGTCATTGCCATTCCTACTGGTATCTGAGAACAGATCTTCAATTTTAAGTTGAGACAAGAGACCTTGACTTGCCATCCAGGACACAAAACAGATTGTAGTAACCTAGATGACTCAGAGATAGAAGGAAAGAACATAGGTAGCTAAGAAATGCCCTCTTGAGGAATTAAACAGGGCTATTAATGAGGTTTTTCTCATAGCATTGTGTTATTTCCACACTGGCACTATGAAAATTACCTTTATCAAGGAGAAACAGGGGAGTTGGCTCCTAGGAGATATTAATAGCCCAATGAATGCTACGTGTTCTCCATCTCCTGGAAAGACACTTTGGCATCATTATGAACTCCAGGGATAAGGTAGTGATTCCTTATGTGATGAACTGCTCAGACAGGTGTACAGAATTGACAAGAAGATCCACTTGGCCAAATATAGGGTTATAAATACTAAGATAAATATTTAAAAGGTATAGACACACACATACATTTTTCCCTCCTCAGTGAGGTTCTCCAGTGCAGATGTTTTCCATCATGCCCCATAGTCTATTAATCAAATAAGCAATTGTTTAATCCCTATCCTGCTCAGGAAGAAGGGTATCCAATGTCAAAAGCAATGGGGTTATTTCCAAGAGAATCTGCTACTTTCTGCCAGGAACCAGTCTCTTAAGTACAAGGACTGTCTTGAGCTCCAACCCTTATGACATTTTCTTCTACAACTCCAGCCCACAGTGTTTCCCCCTTATTAGCATTTATAAAATACATTGTCAGGGCCAGCAAGCAGCAAGCAGTGGTTAAGGTGCTGGACTCCCACCCAGACGACCACAGCTCAAGTCCCAAACTTGGTAGCTTGCTTCTTTCTTTCTTTCTTTCTTTCTTTCTTTCTTTCTTTCTTTCTTTCTTTCTTTCTTTCTTTTTCTCTCTCTGTCTCTGTCTCTCATATGTGCCCTATAGCAAATTAAAAACAAGGGAAATTTGGGGGGAAAATGGAGAAGACATTTGTGGGATACAGGTATGGTTTGCTGCCTGTTGATGATGTTGTGCATAGTATTCTCAACTTGCCTAGTAAGCGGCGTATATCATGTTGGGTAAAATCTCTTCACAATCTAAATGATGTATAGTGATTGACTATAAATAATAGTACATAATTAAAGTAAAATAAATAATTCTTTTAAAAAAGAATACATTGTCAGCAGTATAAATTTTGTTTTTTTTCTAGTTATTTTCTTAGTGTTCAGTTGATGTCCTTACCTAAACTATAAGCCTCTTAAAGGCAAGGGCAAATATCTTTGCTCATTTTTACCACATCTCAGAAATTAACATGAGAATAGTCAATAACATACCAGATCATTTCACTTGAGTAAATATTTCTTGAGTCCCTACTAGGTAACAGGCCTAAGGATACAGAGGTGATGATGGCATGGTTTCTGCTCTTAAAGGGGCATTTAGTTTAGTGATGATGTGATAATCACATAAAGAAATGAGAAATCAGCATAGATGCATGCCAAGACTGAGCTTATACAGAGAGTAGTTAGGAGAGCAGTAGTTAGAGGCCTGTGCTACTCAGTGAATGACTGAAAACTTAAGAGAAAAGGAGAAATAGGAGCACTCAAGAAAGCTTCACACAACTAACCCCTGAAGCAACCCCAGGCACTAGCTTTTTCTCAGTGTAAATGTTACTTGGGTGTATGTAGTACACCCCAAGTGGAGCCCTGAGTTCCCAGATACCTCCAATATTCATGAGGTGGTCTCTAATTACCAGGTGACCTTCATATGCTTGTCTTTTATCTGGCTGTTCAGTTATCAGCCAGGTAAAAGACTTGACTGATCACTGAAAAACCAGAAACAACAGTTGAGAAGTCTCCAGCAACAACCACTGTTAAAATAAAAACACTCTAAAGTTATTCTGACATATACTTTTCCTTCCCCAGAAATGTCTACCCTAATACTCGTGGCCCTGCAAACTGGAATATGTACTTCCTGCTTCTTCCCTGGCCTTAATCTACTACCATCTTTCCTATTTTTCCCCGAGGCTTTCCCTTCCCTCTGCCAAGGACCCCTAACCTTATCTGAAATCAGGGAAGCACCACAAAGGGTCCAAATGTCCTTTCTATCCACTACAACTCCCACCGGCCTCAGTCAATGTCAGAGAAAACTTCCATCTTCTGCTTGTAGCAGCAAAGTCTTGATGACAACAGATTCTTTCAAATAAAGACATGTACAGACAGAAACAATATGTCAGGAGTGACGCTCAAAGGAGTAAAGACACCCACTAAGTGTAGGGTGGGAAAAGATGAATATTCAGGTGAAGAAAACATCAGTATTAGAAAATCAGCCAATGTTTAATGATGGAATGAAAGATGCCTTCCTGGGCTGGCAGGAACCACGATGACAACAGACCGCACACTGTCATTTCTCCTCACTTTGGATCACAGCCCTGAAATCAAAGGAGAAAGAGAGAGAGAGGTGCTGGCTTTTGAGCTAGTTAAAAGTCTTAGATGACAAAGAGCTGCTGTTTTCAGAGCACTCTTCTTAAACAATTGAAGAGACAGCCATGGCAGAGGCTGCCAGTCACCCCTGAAACTAGGAATTACTAAATTCCCATCTTGAGGACCAGCCCAAGTTTCCATGTGGTTACTGTTTGGAGAGGACTGAGGACACCAGGAAGGCTTGCCCCAAATAATGTAGTCCAGGGAGCAAAGTGCATCCTTTGGAAGGGTGTCACCTTTCATTTACTTACTACACAATCACCCACTCAGCAAATAACTATGGAATACCTACACCTGCTAGAAACTGTGCCTGGTGCTGAGAATAAGGCAATGAACAAAACAAAGGGCCTGTGCTCTCAGTGAGTTAATATTCTAGTGTGGTGATTTTCAGCCTTGTAGGGGCACCAGCATCCCTGGAACTTTTAGAAATGCCGATCACTGGGTCCTACTGGAGAGTTTCTGATTCAGTAGGTCTGTAGTGGAGCTGGAATTTACATTTCTAAGAAGTTAGCAGGTGATGCTACAGCTCTGACTGAAACCAATGAGGAAAATAACACCATGAGGAATAACAGTTTTAGATTATGAGGGTAAGGAGATGGCAGAGTCTTCTTCCTAGTTACATTAGCAGTACACCTGTCCCAGGGAATGTAGTACACAGCTTCAGAAAGCTGCCACATCAAGTATATCCCCTTGTCCCTTAGTGGCTAGGAACTGGCTCCAAACATTATTACCAAGTGATAAGTCAGTGGGCTTCCTGCCTGCCTGGCCCATCCTGGTCTTGGGAGATCTATTTCCCTTTGTTCTAGGTCATGTCAGGGTGTCAAAAGCTGCAGCTTCAATCCTGAATGTAATACAAGTTTGCCATAAAAATACAAGAGAGGATTCCCGAAGCCACAGACTGAAAGCTTTTACAATATCAATTCAACCCTTGTAAATTTAATCCAGGGTTATTTGTTGCACCAAAATCTCTTTACTGTGATGTATTACTTAGTTACTGGGGTTATCACAGCCGTATCCTAAAGTTGCATAGTACATAAAACATTTCAGTTAACAATGTGGGAAGGTTAACTCCCCCAGATAACCTGCAATCACAAGGGCTAGTCCAGATGACATCCCTCTGTCAGCTTCCACGAGCTATTGATGGTTCAATCAGTTTGTTTTGAAGGTAAAGTACAACAAAAGGGCAGTAAACTTATTCAGACTGTCAACAGGGGCTATCGGGAATGGGGCTTGCAGGTAAGTAATTCTGGGTGTTTTAAGGCTATTATCAAACAGCAATGGTTGAAGGAAGAGACAGCTACTAATAACACAGAAGGCAGCCATCATAAAGCACTTTATGGCAGAAACCCCCGTCTATAAATCCTGCGACACCCGGAGACAGCTTCAGATTTATAAAACTGCTTGTTAAGCCAGGGCATTGCTTAATGAAAAGAGATCCGTCTAAATTCTAAGTCTCACGTCCCTAGCTCCAGAGGGCATCTCCAATTTTCCTGACCTTCTCAAGGTGGCTGGGGAAAGTCCCCAGGGCAGGAGTTGGGGGAGATAGATCCACTCTTGGCTGTGAGATGGAAGGTGAGGTCATCTTAAGGAGAGCAGGGAATCTCAGGAAGGTGTTTAAAGACCCATTTGTCTGGACACAGATTTCCTAATAGTGAGAGACCAACACACAGAGCTTTTCAGGTTCTCTTTTTTCTTTTCATATAGAAAGTTCCATTCTCTTCAAGGATGCCTAAGAAGGCTAAAACTAGTAGGAAGAGAAAAGATACAATAGAAAGGCTTCTTACCCCTCTCCAAAATCAATTTTTTCTTTTCCAGTCTTGATGCTCTACTATTTGCCATTGAGATTTTTTTTTTTAGAGGTTTTTGCTATAGGGCGCGTGTGCTCGCCAGAAAAACAGAGAGAGACAGAGAGATAGAAAGCAAGAAATCACCCCGCAGAGGGGATGGCCACACCGCAATCCCTTCTCCGCCATTCTCCTCTTGGGATCTTAGGCATGCATGCACACGCGCCTGGCATGAGTTTTAAGCCACCAGGTCCGGGACACGAACCGCAGTCGACCACATGGGAGTCCAGTGACATAGCCATTACACCAACTG